GAACAAAGGAGGCTGAAACAAAGAAAATGGAACTAGACAGAGCAGATGGCTTTAAATTAAGACTTGAAAAAACAGGTATTGGAGCCAGCAAGATGAAAGAGACATGAAAAAACTATAGGTGCAAAATGGGATGTTCTTGCATGTAGGACTGGACAGCTTGGTAAAGGCCAAAGGCGGCAAGAAAGCAAAAATACACATTAAAACAAGTAATAAAAAGGATGCATTTGAAAGATTTGAGTCAAGAAGGCAACAATATGAAAGAGAACGGACTAGAAGATTAAAAGAAGCAATACTATCATTTTAAAAGTTTGAATGACTAGGAGTCTGAAGAGGAAATCTCGGGTATACCTGTACCTACTGGAGAATGTAAACATAAAGAACTCACTCGACCCAAATCTGCCTTGCAAACAAGTTGACTGCAGCATATTAACAAGCTCCTTTCCTTACATAAAGGCAACTTTTACTGGCAACCAAGTATGTCTTACAATACTGGTTCTTTGGGGAAAAAAAAGTTAGACTGATAAAAGCACCTCTGTAGCACTAGACTTGCTGTACTTACAATTGCTGTGTAATTGGAGATTTTTCGTAATAGTTTCTCATCTTGTCCTGGTTATTAATGTGACTGTTGGTTTGATTTAGGAACTGCATGGAAAGAAAATAAAAAGATAGATGAAGAAAAATCATTTTTCTGTCTTTACTTGTAAGAAAATTGCAAGTAACTGATGATCATTAAAGATCCTCTTATAACATGGATCAAAATGATAGTAACTTGCAGTTTTGAGATTTTCTGTAAAGAAAGGCAGAAGTTATTTAGGAAAGCTAGGCATAAAAACTGCTGCTGAGGTGTCCGAGCAGGCTAGCTTTTTTGGAGGCTGATAGCGCTTTGGTTGTGCACGTAGAGTGTTTCAGAAATCTTTTTTGTCTGTCCTACTACTAACATAAACAGTACTTCTGTAAAAAGAAGGCTTCCTGGCCTCTTGAAGACACTCAGTGTCTGAGAACCTCAAACAGGTGAAAATGTCATAGATATTCTGGGTGAATTCAGCTGGTTCACAGGGAAGCCCAGGCCACATCCAGTCTCACAGCTGGAGAACAGGGAATGCCTTGCTTGGAAAAGTGACAACCAGCAGCACCGCAGCCGGGCAGGCTTGGAAGGAAACAGAGATGAGATGACCCAGTATTTGTTCCATTCATTTCCTTGGGAGGGGATTTACTATTTTTGCTACTTTAGCTTATGCTGGTTTTCCAACTGCAGTAAGTTATACAATGAACACTGTTTAATGCCAGTGTAAGCATATTTACATTTGGGCTTCTGCCACAGAAACTCCTTTTTAAAAGGAAATCAGATCTCATGTTTCTGTGCAGGCATAAGTTTCTCTTGGCTTAAGCTCATGAAAAATACATACAGTTGCATATTGTCCATTAAAAAAAAAAAGTAAAGTTCGAAATAAGGTGGCTGAAGTCAAGGTATAAATCCAAAGAAGAAAATTGTAAGCGAATTCGGTAGACTTCTAAGACAAAATATCTGGGTTGGGAGAAGAAATCTGAGGGACCCGAGCCTCATATATATGAATGCATATGCATTTTTTCATATTCTTGTTAAGCCGCTTGTTTTGATGTCATCATATATTATTAAATTTATTTTCTTTAAAGGAATCTGGCATGTGAAATGTATGTATATCCATGCCTTAGCTAAAAATGAATTTAAACGGTTTGTGTATCAGCAGTAGCATTAGAAGTTCAAATATTTTTGCATAAAGATTTTGCATAAGGACTGAGGAAATAATTCTAAGAAACCTATTTTGTGTGGAGTCTTTCTGAGTTTTATATTTTAATTTCCTAAAATAGTTTTTGTCTGGGGTTTTTTTGTTGCTTTCTCAAAGAGCTGGCAGGGTAAATGGCAGCTGTAAACCTGAGGGTAGGCTGCAAAGTTTTTCTTCCAAAGCCTTCCTTTCATGTTTAGCCAAGTGAGAGACACAGAGTGAAATGTAAACGCGGCTCAGCATATCCTCATGGCCTTCTCTCCTGGTGAACAGCTGGAGGGGCAGAAGGGGGGCCGAAGCCGCCCAAGGCTGCTAACCGCAACGGCCTGGAAGGCACCGGCTGTGAGCCGCAGCTCCCAGGTTGCTCAGAAGAGGAGGAATGTGAAGATGGTGCTTGAGGGCCGTACCCCTGAGAATGGCACTCCCCATCGCACCCGCTCCTTCTCGCTTCATACTCCCCCTGGGACAGAAGGAAAAGGCATTTGCTTTACTTCTCTTCCGAGTCATTTAACCATTTCTCTTTAATCCCTGGCAGTCTGACTGAGAACTAAGTGTGTGTTTTGTTGAACTTTGTTCTGTTTGAAATTACGGAGTGGAACCGTTTTTATTTAACGTGGGAAACAAGCTTTGCAGAAACTCAACCTATACACTGGGAAAAGAACTTCCTATAAAATATAAACAGATGTTTGTACATTTGAGTGAAGGTCGGTTTGTGGGAGACTTTGTGATAAACTGCATAAATGCAGTATCGAGTTCTAACAATTAAATGATGACTAATTGATGAGCTTGGTCACTTCAACGTGATCTGCTGTGCTGGCACCCCTGGTTTGTTTAGGTTTTGTTTGTTTTTAAAGATACTTTTTCCGACTGTATATTATCTTAATCAGCTAATCTTAAATTTCTTCCTCAGTATGGGGACATAGAAAGCTTTCTCCCGGGACAATGGGGTGATTCCTGGGAGAACTCCAGCTATTCCCTCCAGTGCGAGAGAGATCCGTATGTCTTGTAGTAGCCATAATTGCTTGGGGCCCTTTTTCTACTGAGCAATTCTTTGGCTCGTAATCACTGAAGGGCTGTAATTTTTTTGGTTTGTTTGTTTGTTATTGGGATGGAAATGGATAAGCAAGCAGTGTTTCCTTTCTTGTGTAGAGGTGTGTTTCTTTTTGCTTCCAACCTGCCCTCTCCCTCCCAGTTCTCTCTCTGCACTTGTCCTGACTACATCCACACTGACTGCTTCCTTCATTCTGTCTGTTTACTCTGCAGAGAGCACACAGGACTAAAAAATGCATACATACAATATTTTTTAATTCTTCTATTGTGGCCATGAATTTCCCCCTCAATCAGTTGGGGCCCACAAATGCTCTAGTTGATGTCTTAGTCTTTTTCCCTATCCAGGTTTATACAGAGTATGCCAGTGGTGTTTATATTCTGCACTGATGCAGTTAAGTGTGATCATGAAGAAAAACATTGTTTGCTTCAGTCTGAAGATCACCAGTTTTTGTGAAAATTGCATGGATCCTGCTAATATAATAGTTTTAGTACCTATCCCAGATGCCATAGAATGAACTCTGATTTTCCTGTATTCATATGTAAATCATACTTATTTGTACCTATGTATATACATATGGTTTTCCTTTGACTGTTTGGTATAAAAAGAAAATTATTAAATAAGTTAATCTTTAAGATATTATTTATCCATTCATGAAATTATTAATCTGTTTATACAATCATACACAAAAATTAAAGATGTCCAAACAAATTGGATTATATTGAAAGACAAAATTTTAAGTGTTAAATGTGAAATAAATTATCAAGCACTCTGTCTTCTGACCAATGAGACAGACTCGAAGTGGTAATTCCTTCTGAGAATTTCCTTGCATTGTGTGTGTACCTCTTGAGACATTGCAAGTGCAACTCCAATTTACGATCTGAGCTGGCAGAAGACTTGAGAGGAGAGACATACCATGGGGTAGATGTGGCGAATAATATCGCCAACATTGAATTTCATTAAAATTTGTCTTTTCCATAAGGGATAGCATTAAAGATGTGAAATGCTGTGCTCTGGTTGACTATAAATGCTGTCTTTGCTATGGAAAGACCGTCTTAGTAATACAGGTTACTGCTGTTTGCATCATTAAGGGGGTGAGCGCCCCTCTAGGTGTTTAAAGTTGGAGAGAAAAGAGAGTTTTGAAGGCAGTAGCCCTAATACTGGAGTTGTAGAGTTTTATGGCTCACTCTTGCAAAATGTGGAGGAACAGACTGAGCAACTAAAAAACAATACCTGCAGTATATGTAAGGGAGGATGACACTATTATATTGTAATCCTTCTGACATGCATTCAAGAGCGGCACCAATGACTTATAGTTTTCAGATATTATGGAGGAATCAACTAAAGAAAACCCAAGGATACATACCTTCATCAGATTTTTTCCAGTAATTCTTTTTAGCCGTGTTTTTAAATAAATAAATTAAAAGGATGAAATATCTCACCTTTAATAAAGTGAGATTTGTTTTTCAAGCTGGAAAACACCTCCCTTATGTCCTCATCCTTGGCATTCTGTGCCCGTGAAATAAATAAGTTGAGGAAAATAATAAAATCAGGCAGAAAACATGCCTTAAAGGTCTTATAGCAAATTTGTTACTCTAATGCTGTATTTTCTTGCAGCATTTTTCTGTCAGATCTCTCAAGTGGTCAGGATACTTTCCAGTTTGTTTGGGCTTTTTTAATGTTTAAGCTTAGTGAATTAGTACATGAGGGTTAAAGTATTATGGTTTTTTGCCTCTCTTGTGTCTAGCAACATTGTAGCATTACTGAAAATCATGATGAAATTTAGGGGGATTTTAAAACTGTATAGAACTGAAGCGCTTCTGACGCATTTGGGTAAAATCAGTAGAATCATTGCAATAATGTAATTTTATTGTGTATAATTTTACTTTGCAATTTTATACAGTTTCATTCATAGTCTCCCAAAGAATGTAATATAAATTCTATTTAGTAATACTCATCATTCTAGTGAGAAATTTAGGGGGATTTTAAAACTGTATAGAACTGAAGCGCTTCTGACGCATTTGGGTAAAATCAGTAGAATCATTGCAATAATGTAATTTTATTGTGTATAATTTTACTTTGCAATTTTATACAGTTTCATTCATAGTCTCCCAAAGAATGTAATATAAATTCTATTTAGTAATACTCATCTAATTCTAGTGATTTTTTTTTTTTTTTTTCTTCTTTAGGGTGTACCTCAGTTACCATGTGCCAAAGCATTGTATAACTACGAGGGAAAAGAACCTGGAGATCTTAAATTCAGTAAAGGAGACATCATCATTTTGCGTCGACAGGTGGATGAAAATTGGTATCATGGAGAAGTCAATGGCATCCATGGCTTTTTTCCGACCAATTTTGTTCAGATTATTAAACCTTTACCTCAACCTCCGCCTCAGTGCAAAGCACTTTATGACTTTGAAGTAAAAGACAAGGAAGCAGATAAAGACTGTTTACCATTTGCGAAGGTAAAAACAGAATAAAATTACTATTTTCTTTTAATAATTTTATTTACTTGGATAAGAAATAAGACAACTGTTCTGTAGTCTTGTCTGCATTTTTTTTAATGGAGCTGCACAAATATGAAAAGGGCAAGTAATTCTGCAGGTATCTCTCCTGTGTTGATTAGTTTTGCCTTCCTTCTCTTCCTAAATCACATGTAATTTCTCTGAGGTTTTACTGTTGTGAACGCAATTTTTCATAATTGCAGTAGTAATGTTAATTTATGAGAAATAACCTATGTTATGAATTCAAAGTGTTCCATCTTCTAAAGAAACACTTAAATTGTTGAAGTTGGTACTATTTTCAGCTTTGCATTTAGTACGCGTCACTTTTAGGATCTAGATACTAGACACAAAGAACTACTAAACTTTGTCATTCTGTAATATTACTAATTGCCTTTTGGAAAATATGACGTTTCTTCTTATATTGTTTCTATTGTAATTAATTTTCTGTCTTGCAAGGCACATAATGATAGGTAGTTTTAACAGGAATCAGAGCTGTTCCTTTTTTTCAGTTTCTGATTCTTTAGTTTATCAAATTGCACAAAAATGTTGCAAGATCAAATGTGAGCTAATGACTTTTCTACCCTTGCCCATTAAAAATGAAAAGGATGGCTAAAATTCTAAAAAGGAAAGATGTTAACATGTGGATAGACAATGGTTATTACAACACAGAACAGCAATACTGTTGAGGATGATTGGCATCAGCTTGCATATTTTGCTGGCAAACTGTTTTTTTTTTAAATCTGCACTCTCACTTAAGTAAGCATATGTTTCCAACTATTTTAACTTGCATATGAAACAATTACGTACCTCAGTATAAGCGAGAGCAATGTTTAATGTGCAGGTAAATCCTTTTTTTATGTAACATTCTCAGAACCATATCTAATCCAAATGCTCCACGTAGATGTGACAGAAATCATATCACTTACTAGTGTTCTTAAGTACTTAAGTAGACAAGCAACGTCTAGGGACGATTAGGTAATGAGTCAGTTGAGAAGGAAAAAGATTGTGGTTCTGTTGATTAATGCCGGGGGACTGATGAATACCATGGACTGAACACGTCAGGAAGTCTGGCACGAAGGACAAAGTCAGATGGCTGAGATTAGCTGTGGACAGTTAGCTGAACTCTAACAAAATAGGAAAAGGAACAGCTGGAACCGACATCAACCCCCAAAGTGGCATGTTCCTGTTACGGAGTGCCTTCTCTGCTGTTCTTGTCCATGTACTGCCTTCTCTGATTACCCATGTGTTATGGAGGGAAATTAAATTAGAAGTTTAATTAGAGCTGGGAGACATAATCACTGCATGTTCACACAGGATGATGTTCTGACTGTAATTCGCCGCGTGGATGAAAACTGGGCAGAAGGAATGCTGGCTGACAAAATAGGAATATTTCCAATTTCATATGTTGAGGTGAGTAAAGTTGGGCCCTCAGTAAGGTTGTGCCCACTGTTGTGTATTTCATTTTCTGAAAGGCAAAATAATCAGTACTGGTGATGATTCTAAAATAACCTGAGATATACATAGTCTTAGACCTAAAATAACCTAAGATCTGTGTGCTTAGTTTGGGAAAGTTAATTACCTCTGCAGTTGAACCCATGATTTTTACTTAGCTATTTGATACCTGTTTTCATTGAATGGAATTGGAATGAAAGTACTGGGAGGCAGTCACTGTGTTTTCTTGTTAATACTGGAGTCGTGCAGTCAATCACAAACCACACTTAACCGCAAAATGAAAGCAATCGGCAAATCAGAGAAATAGTAAGCTTTGCACTGTCCCTAATACCTGCCTCTCAAAACCAAATTAGCACAACTAGAATGTCAGAGAATATAGGCTGTTGTTAAGCAGGTAAAGCATTGACTTTTACATCCAAAAGACCCTTATATAAAATCTTCTGTATCTTCCTGCATTTCTCATATGTGATACGACAATTTACAGTGAGAGGTAGCACTTGAGAAAGTTTTCCCAACCTTTTAAGGTTTGAGAGTTGAAAGCTATATCTTCTATATAGAAAGACATAGTTGATTAAGGACAGTGTGTACAGCTGCAACAATGATTATTAAAATTTGCATTACAGAAGGATATAGAGATTTGGAATAGTGTTTGTCTTTTTCTGATAAGTATGCTATGGATACTTGGTAAGATACACTTCTCCCACTGAAGAGATTTTATTTAAATAAATGAGGCAGAACGATGAAAGAAAAAAGTATTTTCACATTACCTGTGGGATGAGAAATATGTACCTCAGGTCACAGAAGAAATGTGTAACCATACTAAGAATCAAGTCAGGTTTTATTAATTCAATTTCTGAATGCCCTGATGAGATGGGAACTTTCTAAAAAATGACTGTGTTCAACCAACATAGAATTTTTTTTTTTTTAAAGGGAAAATAGGTATATTCATTTTTATAGTTTGATGTAAGGATCTTTATATCTGGGAATAGAAGTTTTCACATGACTTAAAAAACAACAACAAAGCAAAAGGGTTTCAACCTGCTTAGTGCAATTCTGGCTTCAGTTTAAGAAGTTTTTAAAAGCCAATTTAAGAAGTTCTTGCCCCTGGCTATTCATTCCTAGCTCCTTGCAATTAACTGCCCCTTCACTTCAGCCAGTAAAGGTTTTTGTGGTGCTTTTTAAAACTAAATCACTTAACTTAGCCAAATTAGAAAAAGCCCTTTCCTAGGGCTGCCACTTGGGCTAACTATTTAGCGAACAACTCTGTTTCCATCTCTACAAACGTTTGCAAAATGGAGATACACTCTTGAAAAAAATTATGTAAAAATGATATTCAGTCACAAAATGTGTTTCACTGTTGATGTTTTCAGACAAATTCCATCAACTAAGAAAATGTATCTTCAATTAACCCTTTTAGAACAGGCACAAGCACTTGTGTACACACTCACAAATCCCCACTAAAATGATATGGGAAATCTAGAATGATAAATAATATCCAAAGAGATACTAAATGATATGGTAAATCTAGAATGATAAATAATATCCAAAGAGATACTTCAGATCAGATAGGTGGGTTTTTTCAGTATATACTAAACCGAAACACATGCTGTGGTGAAGAGCAGTGAGATACGCAGAAAACTATCAATCTGAATTTTGAAATACTGTTTTCTGAGATTGTGTAACTATTGTTCTGGAAAATATGCAGACAGTTGATACAAACAAGTATATCAAACCATTGTTACGTATATTATTATTAAAGACAACGAAGATGAGAAGTAATTAATATTTTTGAGGTATTTTTCATATGGTATTTTTAGTTATATTTCCCAATCCTGTAATCATTGCCTATTTTTGTCATAATGACAGACATATTTTTGCGTTGTGTATGTTAGTCCACATCCTTTTTTTTTTTTTCTTTTTTTTAAAAATTTGAATTAGTAGCTGCATTTACTGGAGATTTTCTGAAGTAATTGACTTTAAAATGAGTGTAGTCTATGATGTTTATTCTGTAGTATAGGTCTGATACTTGCAATGTTTCTTGTACGATGAGGTCACAGGATAAACTTCAGATACGTTGAAGTCCATGAAAAACTGACTATATTTGAGGACAGCTTTTTGCGTGGAGGAACATTTTATGATTCAATGATTGCTAGTCTGCTCTATTCTTTTATATCGCTTTCACTTACTAACTTTGTGGTAATAATAAAAGCTAAGACTGAAAACATTTTGAGAAGAATTTTAATAGTGATTCCATTAAAAGTATAGTTTGTTAATTGAGTCACAAAACATTACCTCTTTGTCTGTAGACACAAAGCACTGTGAAATAATTACTTCTATCTGCAAATGAAAAATAAAGAATGCAAAACATTGCAAAAATGAAATTCTGTTTTCTAAGAAGTGCTAAAACCAAACCAACCCTCTAGTTTAGTTTACTAGAGTAAGACCTGATTAACATACCTAAATTACTAGACTTTTGACTGATGGAATTTCAACGTGCTTGCATTAAAAGCAGGTCAACCAGGTTCTTGCACAGTGACAAAATAAAATGCAGTGAGTCTAGAAACTGTATGATTAAGTTCATAACACTTATGTTTATCTCTGTTCCAAAAAGAAAGATTAATCAGAACTTAAACAGGTAGTATTAGAATTTTTCTCTGTGGAGTACAGTTCTGGGTACAATATACGTTTCTTAGAAAGACATCAAAGTTGACATTTTGTTGTGGTTTAACACTTAGTAAACACACTCCAAATCTAAAAAGTATTTAAATTTTTACAATTTATTCAGCACCATACAGAACAACTAGAAAAATACAAACACCCAGAATAGAAAAAGAAAAATCAGGGAAAAGGAATCACTTTTCAGTCAAAATGTCAGTAGAAAATAATGACAGCTTTTGTTTTTCCAAGTTAACGTGAACGACTGGGCAACACCTTTGTATTAATCCAGCTCCTTTAGCTTTATTTATAAACAATCTTATAGAAATGTAGGGGAAAAAAAACAAATTATCTAAAATGTTCACTGTAGTAGAATTTTAAGTTCATTGTCATTTTATACTACTGTATCCATCAGTTAACACAACATTTTAAAAAATGAGAACATAAGATTTTATGTACCTAGTGTGTCAGGTTGGGTTTTTTTATTAGCATCTCCTCCTGTACCAAACAGGATTGTTTCCAAACATGTTTATTCTTCATTGTGTCTATACATTTTAGATGGGATTTTAGGCTGGATTTCTAGCATGGTCTTTTTTAACGTTGTACTTACTAGGCTAAACTTTGTCTATCACTGTTAAATGATGTGATCAGGTCTAAAGTGCTTAGAAAAAAAAATTCAGACTTTTGTAACAATACTAACTTAGAAGAATAAGATAAAACCTTTTATGGGAACTTTCCTCTACTTTTTGACTGTTTTGCCTGCCCAGACCTTAAAACAGAAAATTTATGTAACAAGTGAATGTGGTATATTATGCCTGAAAACAGAGATTGTTAATTTTGAGTAGAAAATTATAGTCTAATCCCCACTATATTTGAATGTGATAATCTCAATGTTACCATTCCAATGACAACTTCCGAGCGTCATAGTTTTGATTAATTTCCCTAACAATAACTGCAATACAGAACTATTTCATTTGTTTCAAAAATTAATATAAATGCAGCGTTGCTCATGATTGTGATCTGCTCAAGATTTGCAAAATTATTCTTCCGCTGGTTTGGACAAAATATATTTGTTCCGAAACTTAAATTGCAAAGCTGTATTTAGGTTTCTAAGCTATTGCCTATCCTCCAGGATGATGCTTAGCAAAAATAATACCATCAAATAAGAACAATGTTTACATTAGTTCCACTTGCACTTTACTCTTTTGTTTCCAATTATATTTGAAAGTGAAATGTCTAGAAATAGGAATTTGACTAATAATAGTGTTAGTAATGTGGAAAAATAACTCCTTGACATATGGTGATGTACTAAAATTACATAAATAAAAATTTTGGATGAACGTGGATAGAAAGACCGTTTGAGGGAGAAGATGGTGTTTTCAGTTAATTTCAGAAAGTGAAATATTTACATTCTAACTATCTACATGTGAGTGAAGAACACCTGAATTCATTTGTAAAATAAGTACAGTAAAGCACAACTATGAGAAACCTTGAAAAGGTCTTGCATGGTAGTCTACTTGATAATTTCTCCAGACAGCTGCAAGCAGGCAGAAGCCTGTCTGCTAGCCTCAACCCCTACTGCAGCAGTGAGATGCGGCTCAGCAGGACGCCTCTGTTTTGCCCCGTTTGGAAAGTTGTTCTGTTTCCTGGGTTTTGGCGGGAATGGCAATCGGATTTCAGACTACCTGTAACAGCAAAGATTCTGTTGAGTGGAACAACTTTGTTGTTGGTTCAAATACGTCTGTTCAGGAAAACAACTGACGTAGAAAATGTGGGAATGGATACAGGGGTATTCGTTGCAGAAAGGAATGCTGTATTGAAACACTTCATAGCATGAGTGGGATGCATTCCCATGGTGACCTTGAATGGTTGCTAGCCATTTCATTGGAGAATGCATGCAAGTTCTTAACTTCTCTTCTCATGGAAGAAGTAAACTGCACTCTGCAAAATATTCTGCAACTATTGCTGTCCTCAGGTTGCTTCTACGAAAAGGCCAGTAATGTTTAGGTTCATGCTACTGTCCTGTGCTTTCTTCTCTACAGAAGAAAGCTCAGTACGTTGCTTATATTTGAATCAGTCTTGAATCAATCCCATGGGCGAGCCTTAACTTTTCTCTAATATGTTGTTCACTGTATAGAAGTAATCAGATTCTGCAGGCATTAATAGCTTCAGGAGGTAAACAAACATAATTAGGTGTAACGGGTACCTCGGGTGCTTTTAGCAGAGTGGCTTTTGGTTTTGTTTTTTACTCCTGGGTGATCCCTTAACTATTCCGATTAGATAGTTCTTGTTTTAGAAATGAATACTGCTTTTCTTTCTCTGATCTGCGTAATTTGTGAACAGGCTCTTTGCTAAATAAGGGAGTAGATTAGATAAGAATGGAAGTGGTTGAAGCCATTGTATAAGACAATATGGAAGACATTTTCGGGAAGGACATGAAGAATTTCAATCTGAGTTGGAAAAAACAAAATGTGCAAAATACATAAAATGATTAGTCTTTGAAAAGTCTGCATGTTCTTCCAGGATAAAGGATAGGACCCTGACAGGATGAGTAGCAGAGTAGGCTTTTTTTGGTCTTATTTTCTACTTGTTTTGTATCCATCAGCCTCATATCAGTGTTCTGTGATAAAATAACATTGTTTTCACTGGTCTGTTAAAAGTATGTTCACTCTAAATTTAAAATCTAATAAAAAAAAAAATCTAAATAATGGTCTTGCAAGTTAATTGGAGAAAGCTGTATGGTTATGTCTTCTGTACTACACAAGTGGTACAAAATTATTTTGTCCATATGATCCATGTCCAGTGTTAGCAGGAAGGAAAATCTAGCGTCCACCTTTTTCTTAGGAATGTTTACTACTGTGACATTGTCTTCTCCTATCCTTCCTGTTCTCTTCAGCTGCCTTCTAAAGGACCAACAATAAGAACATTTAGGAAAAAACTCTCCATTCTCATCTTTATATCCTTTCTCAAATCCCCCATTATGCCCCTCTTCCACTGCATTATGTTCTAGGTATTTCTTCCTCTTCAAGCATTTCATAATTTTAATTTTCCTGCTGTTACATCCTAGTAGGTTTTTATGTCAACTCCTCATTGTTCCAGTAGTTCTAGTTTTGAACTTTGTTTGTCTGTTTCTTCTGTATATGCATGGAATTTCCTTCCAGATCTCATCTTTCAAATACCACTTTAAAACCTTTTCTATATTAAAAAAATATATATTCTTTTGTACTACTTTATATATATTTTTACTTGTCCTCAGAGGTAGGAAAGTGTTCAGGGTGTAAGCTGTTGTCATTTGTGGGAGCTGCATTTAAATCAATGTTGATGCTGTCATGATTAATGATGTGTTACTTGTCTAGTAGAGTTTTGATGGGGTAAAATACTGCTTTAAAACTCTCCATGAGCATAGTAGGTATCTTAAGACTTGTGGAAAAATGGGTAAAATAAATAGAAGAAATAATATGCTGAAGAACAGAAATAGTACTTCCACAGAAACTAATTTCATTCTTTCATCCTGATGTTCTTCAGAAAAGATTTTTCCCTTCTTCGTAATTGGCTACACTTATCCAAGTAACAGTATTCATATTTAGTGGTACATATTAACATTAGTTAACTTGTTCAGAAAACTGGTGCTGGTGTTACTTCAGCTCATAAATAAATGAGAGTTCTGACATTATTATTTCCAATAGCTCTAAAATATAAATAAAATTTTCTGGAAATAAAGGGTTTGTGAAAAATGTAGGGGGGTTTGTTTGTTTTTTCCCCTCTCTTACATAGCTTACATTTCATTGTAAGAAGAAAATGTGTGGGATTCCATATTTCTTCATTGGAAAGGAAGGATTAGTTTGCATTTAATATAATACTGTTTTAGCAACTTAACAAATAGAAAATTTCATTGTGACAAAAACTCATTAGATAAGCTTAAAAAAAAAAGTCCATTTGAGCATTCTTAGGCACAGAGATGCTGCCTCTGTGTTAGAAAAGTCAGAAGCTGAGAAGGTATTTCCACAGAATTGCCAATATATGTTTCTTTTCTCCTTATAGTGTCTTATGCTTGTATAGCTACTTGTTGTCAGGCAGTATACTGATATAGCTGGATCTTTAGTCTGTCCTACTTTGTTCTTAAATCTGCATTTAGGAAGCCTGGTTTTTACTACTGGTAGCGTTAAAGATATGTGCATAAATACCAAGGGGTACTAGGAGGAATGTCTTCAAGAGCTGACATGCAAAGGTGTGGGCTTATGTCATACTTACAAACAAAAAAAAAAGGCTTAAAATGAAATGAACATTCAAGAAGTTTTGTAATACAGATTTTTATATTATAAGGTCAAAGGGGACTGCTGTGATTTAGTCTGACTTCTAGATAATACAGGGAGCGGATATTGCTGAATAATAGGCTGGACTAGAGCATAACGTCCTTTCTTGATTGAAATGTTACCTCTGATGGGTAGTCAACACCAGCCCAACAGTAAGTGTGTTGAGTTTGTAGTGAAAGACTTGTCACTCTGTAATGAGTGTAGAGTAGGTCAGTATGTCACAGTTTTAAGTTGCATTGTTTAAATTCTATTATATTATCAGTAAAAGGAAAATAGATTTTTTTGGTTATATTCAGGTGACTTTTATAAATAAAAAAATGCTAATGTGTGACTGTTTTTCGTAGTTTAACACAGCAGCCAAACAGCTGATAGAATTGGATAAGCCCTCAGGTTCTGCTCTTGACTCTGGAGAGGGTACCTCTGGGGCAGCCCACAACAATTCAACCCAAAAGCACACCGATGCTAAGAAAAACACCAAAAAACGGCACTCTTTTACCTCCCTCACTATGTCCAACAAGTCTTCACAGTCTTCTCAGAATCGCCACTCAATGGAAATTAGTCCTCCTGTCCTCATCAGCTCCAGCAACCCAACCGCAGCAGCCCGCATAAGTGAGCTGACGGGACTTTCCTGTAGTGCCCCTTCTCAGGTAATTTACGTGAAATCAAATATAAATCATGTGTGTTTGTTTTTTTTTTAAATAACTATAAAGGCTTCTGATCTTTTCAGATTACTTGCTTCAAATTATTAATTATATGTAAGTAATACTAACGTATGCTTTCACGAAGTTTATCTTACAACATGACAGCATTTAAGGAAAACATTTTACAACACTTCTTATACAATAATAGCAAATATTTTTGGTCTTGTAAGCTAATTTTTTTCGCAGTTGTTAATTTCTTAAGTGCCATAAATATTTTTATATATTTACTTGCACATGCAAGTAAAAGATAAATTCAACCTGAAAATTACATGAATTTCAGAAATATACCATATTAATCTGACTTTAAGACAGGAAGTCTTAAAGGCGCAGGAGCAGGCTGTCCCTCTACGCCGTAAGAAGAACAGGTGGGGAAGACGACTGGCCTGGCTGAACGGGGAGCTCTTGCTGGGACTCAGGGAAAAAAGGAGAGTTTACCACTTGTGGAAGAAGGGGCAGGCGACTCAAGAAGAGTACAGGGATCTCGTTAGGTCGTGCAGAGAGAAAATGAGAAAGGTAAAAGCCCAGCTAGAACGCAATCTGGCCGCTGTCGTTAGAGACAACAAAAAGTGCTTTTACAAATATGTTAATGACAAAAAGAGAGCCAAGGAGAAAATCTCCATCCTTTATTGGATGCGGGGGGGAACATTGTCACCGAGGATGAGGAAAAGGCTGAGGTACTCAATGCCTTCTTTGCCTCAGTCTTTAACAGGCAGACCAGTTATCCTCAGGGTACTCAGCCCCC